GACATTTCGTCTTTATTTTTGGTTATATACTCGATACCAATATATAATAATATATTCTCGTTTACAATGGATAATTAAGTATTATTTATAAATAAAAATAATCACATTATTCGCAATAAGATCTATTCAGTATAATTGTAGCAAAATTTAAAAGTACGAAAATATTTGTTTCTTGTTTCTCAGAGGGCGAACGCGTGACTTCTAATTTTTTTAAGTAGTCTGTAAATTTGACCGAGATATAAATGAAGTAAGGTATAAATTTGTACACAGAAACGTAGGTAATGAAAGTTTAAAGGTTTGTCTTTATTGTTATGCCTAAAAAGGGCTATACGAATAGTCTTTTAAACATTTTTTTATCATATCTTGTGACGAGACCAACAGCGACCAGCGACCCAGATTTGAATCGTAAAGATCTGGACTGTCACTGCCTCCATCACTCTGAGGGTCGTATTCTAGAACTCTATTCAATGCTCAAGTCAGGATTGCACTGGAAACACAAGCACTGGAAATACGACCCTAATGGCAGGGACTTGAGTATGATTTCGAGTGCTTTAAGTCATACGCAAATCCTGACTTGAGCATTGAGTAGAGTTCTAGAATACGACCCTAAGACACGAAGTTGACAAGTCTCATGTGCCTGTAATTTCACGAGCACCTTCAAAACTGGACCGCAGTAATAAGTAAGTAGGGAACATCTATCAATATCGATTTGAATGCATCAAATTCATCGTAACTGCGAAACGTGAGAGTGTCGCAGACTCAAGACTTATTCTTGCTCAAATTTTGTGTCGGTCTTGGTGGTCTTGCTACTATTAGGTGGTATTTGTCTTGGTCTTGCAATACAAAACAAAACCGATTTTGGCACCACTATCTACTGCTCTATTCTATGATAAGACTTGGTGGCTCATCTGGATGAATCGGGAGATTGTCTGTGGCGTTGTTCGTTGGGAACATCTCTTTGGAGGAATTCGGCGGAAGCTTTTCGTTTTTGTTCTACACGTCGGCTCGAGAGGTTGCAGATTTCGTATCTTCGTATGTGATTTATGGCATTGGGGGCATGGTGCCTGTACAGTACATGACAGATATTAAAATCACATTTACCCGTCACTTCAATGATAAACAACACTATCTACAAAATGATAAATCTACTTCTGAATATATTCTGCTGATATTTTCAGTACTAACAAAAGAAAATGTATCGTTTTAAGTCATGAAAATGTACTATTTGATCAGCCTAAATGATATCAGTCGGTAGAGCACTATCTTGGGGTGTCAATGTCAATTCATACAAATTTACTAATTTAATTTAATACATATTTAAAAGCTTAGATGGCGACGCTTTTTTATTTCTTTTTATTTTTTAAAAATTAGTGCGAATTTGGCCTCCATCTCACCTGATGTAAAGTGATGATGAGGTCGACGATGGAGCATGCACACCTAAATAATGCCAATTCACTCTCGCCTGGAAAAGGCTCAAGTTATAACGTTCAGGGAATTCCACTCCATAGCCATTCGCTACATTCGCCATGTAAATGTAACTAACGCTTCGTGCGAATCTTTGGAATATTCAAGATATATGGAAGCCAAGACTACGTCTAGTCCCCCGGTGATGGTAAGAGAAAGACGGAATGAAATCGTGTAATTCCATTGCACACTCTCCGTGATATATCCTGCAGAATCACTTATTGATATCGTCACTCGTCATGATATCGGATCGGACGCTTGCGAGTACGCTTCCGGCGCACTAGATGGGGTTGACACGCGATGACTATCTTTTTTTCTTCTTCTTTCCATAAAGGAAAAGGCAAAGGTTTTACACCATACAGCCAAGTCTTGGTACATTATTCTTTTTTTGGTACATGAAGTTGAATTATGTTTCTGTAAATATGGCCGCCACAAAGAGGATAGGCAATTTGAGGCGGCGTGCTTGGATTGACTCGGGATTCCTTAGAACGGGCCGATACGGGTATTTTAGTTCGAGATTCGTTTAATTTCGCGTTTTAATCTTCGATTAAGGCACAATAGCACTATCCTATTCCACTTTAAACTAGATTTCACAAAATAATTGAAAGTCAAAATAAAAACGACACTTTTCCTCCAAAAGGTCCAGAGCGAGTCGCGATGACTATCTTTTGTCACTGTAAATTAAATAGAAAATTATTTTTAGTACACAGACGAAATAACCTAAAAAAAACAGTGATGGTTTAGATTGTAGATAATGTTGTTGGAGGTATTTTGTTTCGGTTTTAAAAGAGAAGCCCCGGCAATTTACCCAAGGTTGGCTCAGTAGTTAATAATTATATCTAGTTCAAGTTCCGTTTTTATGTGCATTATTAAATCTGATACCCGATGTCAACCCGATATGAAAGTATTTTTAGTGGTGCGATTTAAGTTTGGTAGAAATTTCTCTTGTCTGTTGATATAAACAATCGACAACCCTAATTATGTTTCTTACAAAGATGGATTGTTGTAAATAAAAATCTCACTCCAAAAGACTTGTACGGAATTAGTATGGAACTTGGTGCTTTATTCCCAGAAAAATTTAACCGGCCTCCAATTTTTTCTACACATAAGCATGAGTTACAGAGCTTAGCAAAATAATTAAAAAAAATATTGCAATCGGCATTATTTATTTATAACAAAAGTGTGGTACGTATGTTAAATTAATTACCAGCAACACTGCGATACTAAAAAAGTCCAAAAAGCAGCAACACTAAAACGCTAAAATATTTGAAATCATAATTTTATTTGGAATTAAAATTACAACAAGAATTATATTGACATAATATCTGATCTGTTTATATTTTTTATGGTATATTGTGGTATGTGGAGGTATATTGACCACTGGTCTATAAGCCAAAAAAACACAAAAATCCGTTCCGTTTTACATTACATAATATTAAAAAATTGTAACGATTTTCTGGAAATTGCAGGCTAAACATAATTTGTTTTTAATTCAGACTTTCTAGACTTTGAGAGCTCTTTACCAACTAATAGCCTGGTTAAATTTTCCATTTAATTTAGTACCACTAAACGAACAACTAACTCTTTTGACTTGTATTAGACACTGTTCTACTCTTAACATTTAGATTATAATCGCGGCCATTACTTCTTGCAAGTATCTAGTCGCCATAGACAAGAGAGCTGTCAAGCGGCTGGCATTACGAACCATAGCGGTCGTTAGTGATGCACCGTAACAAATTTTTTTTTTAAATTTATAATTCATAAGATATTTTTTTTAATAGCAAGTAAAAAATAGTTAAATAAATAAATAAGTGATGGGATCCATCCATCCATAGCAGTCGCATTGCCATTCAGAGCTTTAAATCGCAAAGATCTGAGGGGCATTGCCACGCGCATGTCACCCTTAGACATAAGTTGACGAGTCCCACGCGCCTGTAATTTCACCGGCACCCTTACCCTTCAAAACCGGAACATAGTAATACTTAGTAAGTTTATTAAACTGCCTCCGTGGCCGAACGGTTACCATGCCGGACTGCCATGCAGAGGTCCCAGGTTCGATTCCCGGGCCGGGAGAAATATTTGTACGGCCTACATTTATTTGTCTCGTGAGTTTGGGTGTAATTTGTAATTGTCTATTTGTGTGTCCATGGCACCCGCGACACACGGTTTCCCTAGTGCGGGGCTATGTCGAGTGTGTGCGTTATTATTATTATTATTACTTAGTTTCCGATGATTCCAGACAATGTTAATGACTAAATTTCGCAAAAATCTCGATTACGTTCTTTAAGATAGGGACGGGGCCGCACGGTTTTGAACAAAAGTATCAATATTCCATCTTTGTGCGAGAACTTTTACTGTCAAAAGTGAAAAAAAAATTGGGCGGAGCACGGAGTATCGATTCGAAACGTTAATAGTGCTGCGCCGCCCGCGTAGTGTGGCGTAGTGGTGTCGATGGTGCCAGCGCCGCCGTCGGGACCGCGGGAGAGTGCGAAAGCGTTCCTGCAATCCCGGCAAAAGGTGCAGGGACGGAACACCGTGGGGTTTTATTCGGTAGGAGTCCGTCATAATCTCTCTGTTGCCCCCGCAGCAGAGAGTTATCCATGAGGATTTCCCCACGTAAAAAAAAGAGACTGCCACCTTACCTATTCCTACCCCTTGTACTGCCACCACGCCGTAATGTGAGCATTACAGCATTCCGATTTTGAGGGGTAAGGATATTGGTGAAATTACAGGCATATGGGACTTGTTAATTTATGTCTCAGGGTGACGGGTTCCACAGATCTTTGCGATTTAAAACTGTGAGTGGCATTGCAACTGTAAGGGACATGTTTGTCGTTTAACACCAGGCGTACGACTTGTGCGGTCCATCATTTATATTATATAAAAAAAATATTTATTTCTTCCTTTCTTTCTTCACTCTCTTTCTCATTAATGTAAATATGATATACGAGCACATCGGGCGCTCTTCACTACGGTAGGTATTATTTTATTACACAATATTCTGTTTCTTGAGACTCGTCTAAGTTTTTATGAGTCGTGTCATGGTCGTGCCCGGAATGTTATCATTATAAAAGTACTTAGGATTGGGGGATAGATTTATTTTGCGCACGTTCATACGTGAAATGTTTTTACTTAGAGTAATAATTATCGCATTCTTGCAAAGATCTTACGATGTATACAGGGTTTGTAAAATACTACGAACCTAACTTACAACTAATATCATAAACAACAGTAGTAGCAGCACAGCTCCTTGTGAAAGAGTTCGTCCAGGAAGTACTGCCACCTTACCTATTTCTTGGTATTATAAAAACAATCTTTAAAAAATCAACAGCAGCATGTACGAAGTAGATGGTACAATATCTTTACCCATCTAGCTATCATTCTGCTATCTATATTCAATTAAAATAACCATGACATCGATTTGTTAAAGTTGATTCACGGTTTAATTCAGTTTTAGTTAGTCTTAACCGGTATGATTACAGTCATAATAATAATTTATATTTTTAATTTAGTGTTAGCTGAATTTGAGGGCTTATTCCCTAAACGTGAGAATGAAGTGAGTAATTCTGTTTGTTTCTTATTTAGTAATAACAAGTAATTTAATAGGGTACGTGATTCTAAACCTAACCCTTGGTATAATAAGGCCCCATCTGCAAAATGATTACTTCTAAGAAGAGAAGGTTAAAGATTCCACGAACGAAATTAGTCGGTAATTTTTTATGCTTCAGAATCGATACTATCTTGGAATTCAAATTTTTCCCATACTGAATCGGTTCTACTGCGCGGGTCGAGCGATTGGAACACTGGTTTTATTTTTTAAAAACGAAATTAAAGCTATTTGAAAAATGTATATCGTATATTGGCGAATGCAAACACATATGGGTAAATTCACACTATAGGGTGAAATCACAGAGAAAGGATAAGATAAGGAATGAGTATATCAGGGGAAGTTTGAAAGTGGCGACAGTGACGGAAGAGATGAGGAGTAATAGGTTAGCGTGGTATGAACATGTCATGCGGAGGGAAGAATGTCATGTGACGAGAAGAGTGGTAGGTATGAATGTGGAGGGATATAAGGGGAAAGGAAGGCCAAAGAAAAGATGGATGGATTCTGTGAAAGATGACATGGATAAGAAAGGTATGAGTATAAAAATGACGGCAGATAGGGGAGAGTGGAAGAAAAATACATGTTGTGCCGACCCCACCTAGTGTGGGTTAAGGACAGGAAGAAGAAGAAAAAGGTTGAAACCACAGAACAATAAATCGGTAGAAGTGGTTAGTTACCGTCTGACGCGTGCCAACATTAGGTCTCGAAAGACCTACATGAGCTCGGTAGGGTTGTGTCATTCTTTCGCGCAAATTCGCTAAAATCACAGAAAAATGCCTCATTGTGCTGTTTTGGAGCAGAACTTTGGGAGGCAAGCCGGGGCCCATGCCCCGGACGGCAAATTCAAACTTGGCAGTCGAATACACAACTAATCATTAACTCGACTTTGACCACTGAGACGTCTAGTACCTTAGAGCGTATAGAATTGGAGGCGGCATCGATAGGCAGTCCCCTCTGTCAAAGTATGAGCCCAAAATGACCTCTTGCCACTATAAAACTACTGTTGAATCGATTTTTTTCCATTTCCATTATCGAATTCACCGCGTCAAGGCAAGTACTCCGCGAAACATATCGTCTTGCGCTATACAGAATTGTAAAAAAGTTCTACTGCAGCCAAGGAAGAAATTACATTCCATATACAAGTTTATTTTTTGTATTAATTGCTGGTTTTCTATTTTAATATATTTTTTTTCACATTGATTCAATTTATCGATTTCGTCCAAAATATTTCGAGTCTTACTAGTAATTATTCTTCGCTTAAACATGGACCTTACAATCTATATTTTAGAGGTTACAATGAACAAAAGTCAAATCATGACGTATTACTTACCCCTCGTGAAATAAAAAATTAAAAACGGGTTTCCCCACGGGACTATCTACTATCGCTACGCAAGTTGTCAATAATATCGATCTCTAGATTTTGAGGCTTTCGTGGTTATTCAGTAAATGATTATCACTAATTTCAGGCTTCTTACTTCTATTCATTCTCTCTCTCATCTACGGTATGACTTCTATTCATTTTCCTGATATTTCGGAACGATTGGTCAGTCACGGGTTGACTGGACGGCGGTAGATGACAGCTTTAAGGGCAGATATATCTGTCTACCCTCTTGCGCTGTCGACGACAACTACCTTCATCGCGATTTGTTGTGGCGTTACCATTGTCACTCACTTTTTTCACACAAACCACACTCACTGTATCCACACGCGAAACGGAACTCGAGGTGTTCTTGTTGTTATTACTGCACGCACTAAGGACTGGATTCCATGCACTGGACAGTTTAAAACCATCATCACGGATAAATGCTTTGTACTTCGTGATCTCGATGGCTTCTCGTAACAATCGTCGTATGTAGTGACGTTCTGTCGTGTACGTCGTGTCGTGTGGCGGGCGCAGAGGCAGTGCCACATCTTTGTGATGTAAAGCTCTGAGTGGCACTGCCACTGTTATGATAAGCAGTGGCGGATTTGCCCTAAGGCCCAGTAGGCCCGGGCCTGGGGTGGCCAATCGTGACAAAAAATTCACTGATGATGACAAGAAATAACTTAAAGTACCTAAATATTCTAAGGGCTCATTATGGTGGGCCGGACTGCACCGCGTCGTGTAACAATAATCTTCCTAAATCACTTTCGTTCATTTCTCTAAAATATAGATAAATATCATAAATGTCACTCAACTTAAAACTCTTTTCAGTATCTAAAACATACGTCACCACGACCTGTAAGTATTTGTTTATATTCGATTTTTGATACTGACGGTGGTCTAGTCTACGCTATTATTGTTCCGACGGATAGTTTGTATTTCCATGATGTCGAATTATGCTAAGCAATAACCGTCAATATTAATCAGCTTAGAAAAAAAACAGGACAAGCCTTCGCTTCGACGTAGCGGGACTTGTCATGTCAAGAGAATACATTTTCTGAATTTTATGGGTTAGAGCGATGACACACGATGCCTTGCGAGGCCTGAGCGGTGAGGCTGCGTTGTATCACATATAAATCAGAACGACATGCCACAATATACGTTGGAACGCATACGCATTCCGACAAGGGGCCAGAAACGAAGCGGGGAGGAGTACTACGAGAGTGGATTGAAAAGTTCGCAGCCTCACATACTTAATGTATTTTTTTTCATACAACTCTCATTTAATTCATACATTCGTTGGTTGTCACAATGCAACATTTTATTGGTTTAGTATTAGTGGTTTTGTGGAGCGATTTCAAAAAATGGAGAAAATTGTACAACGTGCTGTTATAAAATACTTGTTTAGAGATATTAACACCGAAAAAGATCCACAGTGACATGGAAACAACATTAAGGGAATGTGCTCCATCGTATACGACTATAAAAAATGACTTGCAGAATTCAAACGTGGACGAGAGACCATCGAAGAAGACTGTAGGTCTAGCCGGGCCACGGCGTCTACGACTGAGGAAAACCTCGGAAAAGTGTGTGATCTCGTTATGGAAGTCCGGAGACTGACTATCAAGGAGATTGTAGACACTATGGGCATCTTGTATGAGCGGACGTAAAGCATAATTGTCAACGAACTTGGATTTAAAAGGTTTCTGCTAGGTGGTTCCCCGGTTGTTTTCAGTGGACCAAGGGCGTATTCGGCACGCAATTTCTCGCGACTGTTTGAGGATGAAACTTGGATACACCACTATATATCAGAGCCCAAACAATAATCGAAACAGTGGAAAAAACCTGGTGAACCGATTCCAGAGAAAGCAAAAGCAGTTTTGTCGCCTAGCAAGGTGATGGCGTCAGTTTTTTAGGATGCTAAGGGTGTCATCATGGTGGACTACCTTCTGCACGAAATCATTAACTCAGCATACTATTGCGCCATTTTTGCGTCGTTTGCACGAAGTAATGAAAGAGAATCGTTCAGAATTACTCAGGACAAAAGTGTTGATTCATCAGAATAATGCTCGCGGTCACATTTCCGTCGAATCTATGGTTAAAATTTATTATTGTGGTTTCAAATTACTGTCCCAGCTGACTTGTTTTCTTGGCTGAGCACATCCGGACTTTCATCTGTTGTCAAATGTAAAAAAACACCACACTAGCCAGAAATTTTCATTGAATGAAGGTGTCGGAGCAGCATTAAATGGGTAATTTTAAGACCTTGAAGAATCTTTTTTTAAACTGATATAGAAGCTTTGGAAAGCAGGTGAAAGAAATGCATAGAGCTAGATGGTCATCATCATCGAAAATCAAAAAAGATCACGTCGAAAAACTAAAAATATTTTTGTAAGCATTTAACTTTATTTTCGTGGTTAGGCCGCGAACTTTTCAATCCACATTAGGATGATGCGTAAGTAAGCGTTGCGGCGTTAGGGAGTCACCACGTTTATACACAAGGAATAGCCTTGCGCCGGTCAGAAAAACCTTATGTCCATGCAGTAAGAGCGTAAAAGATGTTGCGCGATTTGCTTCCGCTTGGATCGCCGACGCGAAACGCACAGTCATTTTCGTTCTTCTTGCAATTAGATAAAGACATATCTGGCTAGCTTAATGCCGATTCCGTGTCGATAAATGTGGTGACTCTCACGTTGCGCCCCTTGCTTGTGGCATTCGATGCGTTGATTGAAATCACAGCGTTGTTGTGACGACATATATTTTCGACATATGTCTACGTCGATTTTTATACTTATCACGCGAGAATCTGGCTCCTGATCTGCTGCTGACACTAAATATAAGCCAAAAGACAGGTCGCGAGTCTTCCTGAATATTCTCACGCATGCTCGCAAATTCCCGCAGTTACCGTACCGTATTTAGTTTGTACTTTACACAATTGGCATAAAATTAATTATGCTATGATAATTTCGCTCCATAAATTCGCTTCGACTATAATATAAATCGACGGGCCGGGCCAGCAGCTACTGACCTTTGTAATTGGATTTCGGATTTCTCGAGCGAACGTTCGATTCGAGTGTTCTTAGATGGCTACTCTTCCGAACATAGGGCGATAGATGCCGAGCTCCTCAGGGTTCTATACAGTCAGCAACCCTCTTTCTGCTGCATATAAACGATATGTTGATTCCTACCTTTGGGTATGCTGATGACAGCACAGTTGTAGACAGGTACTTGACCAATGCAAGGGTCAGTGGAGAAGAAATCCAGTCTTGTCGAGAGTCCATGGTTAGTCGTTTGAATTTGACACTTAAGGCAGTCTCCGATTGGGGCGATGCCAATCTTATCAAATTTTGATGCTATCAAAACGCAGGCGTGTCTTTCACCACTAAACGGAGTCCCTTTCACATGACTCCGAGTTTTCGTGATATATTCATACCGATAGTCGACCGTCTTCACCTACTTGGAATGGACTTGTCGTCCAATCTGAACTTCGGCAGTTACATTGAATCCATGGCCAAAAATGCAGCCAAGAAGCTTGGCATTCTTTCCAAGGTGAGGCGATACTTCACACCGGGACAGTTGCTTCAGCTGTACCAAGCACAAGTCCGGTCGTGTTTGGAGTACTGCTGCCACTTATGGGATATCTCTGCTAAATGCCAACTGGCCACCTTGGATTCAATAGATAAGCGTGCTAAGAGGCTTATAGGTGACTCGGAACTAGTAGAGGCGAAGCTGCAGAGCCTTGAACATCGCCGTAGAGTTGCCAGCTTATCAGTATTCTACAGGATATATTACGGAGCGTGTGCGATGGAATAGTATAATTTGATTCCGCCTTCCCCTTTCCATCATCGGGAGACTAGACGTGGGCGGGGGTTCCACCCCTATGTTGTGGATATTCTCCGGATTCGTACGAAGCTAGGGAGTGGAATTCCCTGCCTGCAGACTTGTTCCCCGAGCGCTATAACTTGGACCTTTTCAAGGCGTGAGTGAACAGGCATTATTTAGGTGTGCATGCTACATTCCCGACCTCATCGTCACTTTCCATCAAGTGAGATGGAGGTCAAATGGGCACTTATTTTTATAAAGAAGAACCTACCTTGCCCAACACATTAGCGTAGCCATACAAAGGGGGACCGCTGCCAGCGTCTTGGCCACCTTGCCGCGAGAATCCAATTTTATTCATATAATTTATTCTTAGTTTTAGTTTCTAGTATTTAAATTTTTATTGTACGAGGACGGAACCACCGCGCTCATGTGGTGTCGCTCTTACAGATTTAAAAGCTTTACTTGATTTTAAAAAAGGTAATTTAACTTAATTAAGGTAAGCTATTAAACGACAACAATAATTGATGTCTACAAAGTTAAATATAATAATTAGCTTTCGGTAGCGAATGTACTCAAGAAGCAACTGAAAAACAGCATTATTCTGAGGCGTTTAACTATTACCTAGGATAGTAACAGTGATTATGATTATTTAAGAACAATTTCTTTGTTACGAGTATTTTGTCCTGTTTTATTGTTTTTGTTTATGTAGTAATGCTTTGATTGCCTATTAAAGTAAAGAAATATAATTAGTTACAAATAGTAAACCATTACTTAACGCCATTCTCTATTTTATAATTTTTTTCTATGTAATATTTTGTAATGTTTTGTAGTTCAATGAAAAAAATATTATACTGCCCTATAAAAATAAACTAAATTACTCTCACCATATTACATTTTGAAGGACAGTACATTTAGTACCAGGATCTCGGGTCCGACTACCTAGTGACAGCCTTTGGAGTCGAAACCCTTGACCCGTGGGGTCCCAGTGCCCTTCATCTGTACAAAACTTTATCGAAAAAAAAATAGACTGTCTGGAAAACCCAAGGGCCGGCCGCTACCTTGCCCAACGCATTAGCATAGCAATACAAAGGGGGAACGTTGCTAGCATCTTGGGCACCTTGCCGCGGGAACTCAATTTTATTCATAAAATTTAAAAATCCTAGTTTTACTTTCTAGTATTGAAGTTTTTATTGTCTTTTTTAGCTTACCTGTATATTTTAAAGAACTAATTTCTACTATCGACAACAGGGACATGAATATTAAAATGTCAATAATAGCGCTCAATCAACCCGCCCGGGTGTTTACCCATTTCTGCCCAAAATTGTGTGCAGAAATACTGTACGTGTAATTTTTTTTTAATTTTTAATTTTAACTTATTGGAAGACCAACGCTATCTTATAGAGTAAAAACTTAAATAAAAATGGAGAGCCAATTATAGGTCCTCACCGATGGACACACATTACGTTGATTAATGAGCATTAAATTATAACTATATAACTAGTAATTATACTATATAAGTAATGTCATTTTCGCACCACTTAGTAATTACTTACTCGCCAAAAAACAAACTACTAATAAGACGCTTCACCGAGGCAACACTAGTGTTAAAAAGGTCAATATCAACCTGCTTGGACAATACATTGAAGCTATTACTCGCACGCAAGACATATGTATTCTGCCGAAAATTCGAAGAGGCCAGAGGTACGCACAAAAGTGAATTAAACCTAAGTGACTTTGTAGGTGCTCTACGAGAAATCTTGGACACGAGTTCCGGAGACTCCACGGCACCAGAAGCAATTTTTCGCAAAATTGCTAGGTTTGCTATCGTGCTATAATGCGGAATTTGGTACAATTTAATAACATTAATATATCGAGTTCTTAGGTTTTTAGGAAATAAAACTATTTTTCCGGATTTAAATAGCGTGTATTTGTTTTTTCAGTCGACCATGACCATGGGATCTGTGAAGTGTGATTCACGCACACTGAAAGCGGGTGCGGGTCGGGCGCGTGACGGGTCGGGAGCGCGGCGGGTGAAATTCCTTGTATTTATATGGACGACAACACACCACGCGCATGTGCGCACGACATGCGTCCGACTCGCACCCGCTTTCAGTGTGTTTTACGCTTAAAGAATCCGTAACGTTGGTTTATTGAAAAATATGTTTGATTCATGTATTAGGGTTACATTTTTATATAAAATTTACCTGTATCTTTAATTCTCTAATAAAAAAATCTGTTTTTGACGAAAAAGAGGCAACTGCACACCCACCTTGCAATCCTATGGTCTATCACTTACTACTGGGGATACACATTACGATTACATTTTTATGATAATCGATTCAAGTGCATGCGACAACGAGTTTTTGTATTGATTAATTTCAATGCAGTTTTCAAAAGGCAAAATATGTCAGCAAGTAAGAAACATTTTGTAAAAATATCATTACATTTGCACAAAATTCGATTTATAAATATTTAGTTGTAAATAGTTTGTGCCCTCGATTTCAGGCGTTAATGGGTTTTAACTTGATTATTAAAACCCGGGCGCTTGCACAAACATATAATTTAATTTCTTAGAAAATAAGTTAAAATGTACAGGGAAGGTACAATAAAAGTTTAAATACTAGAAACTAAAACTAGAATTAAATTATATGAATAAAATTGGGTCCCCGCGGCAAGGCGCCCAAGATGCTGGCAGCGGTCCCCCTTTGCATGGCTATGCTAATGCGTTGGGCAAGGTAGCTGCCGGCCCGGCCCCTCAATTTATATTGCCAAGTGAATTTAGGTAGCGATTTGTCATAGCATTAAGAACTTTAAGCAAACTCTGTAACGTACAAACTAAATACGATACGGTAGCTGCATGAAATAGCGAGAAAGCGCAAACATATTCTGGAAGACGTTTTAGGTGTATTTTGGCTTGTATCTAGTTTGTACGTTACACACGTAAAGTTTATTATGCTATGGTTACAGAAACTCGCTTTCATTCCGTTCCGCGGCAATGTAAATTGTGCTTAATGAAAACAAGACAGATGTTGCAATATATCGAGCCATTACCGTCGCCGTGTAAGCGACAAAAAACAAATTTTACAGGAGAGGTTTTTTAAACTATTTCTACATAAGGAATGTGATACTAAACTGAATTTGAATAATAATAATTAGATTTTATTTTGAATATAATCCATAGCTAGTTAGTAACACAACCTATAATATAATGTTAGTATCTTATAGCTACAATAGTGGTGAAATACAAAGTAATTTAAGTGTGGAGTTACATCCAGTGACGTAGCATTCAGTAACCTTCAGGAGTCGGTTGACACTAGCGAGGAGCATACATTCCAGAAGCACTACAACGCCATTGTTTTAAGCAGCAGTTCAGTCCAGTGAAGTACTGCCAATTTGCCTATTTCTGCCTCAAAGCAGTAGTGTTAGCATTACTGCGTTCCGGTTTCGAAGGGTAAAGGTGCTGGTGAAATTACAGGCACATGGGACTTGTCAACTTATGTCTCAGGGTGACGGGCGCAGAGGCAGTGCCCCTCAGATCAGATTCAGATTCAGATTCATTTATTTCTCAAATATAACATTACAGTATAAATTGCACTACATGTCAAAGTATAAGAAATTATATTGAGATCGTCAGACAAAAAGGAAAATTATAAGAAAAGCACACAATAATTAGAAAATTAACAATTCATTATATAATATTGTTGTTATTAAATTATATATCAAATATCATTCTCCATCAAGGATCGTCATAAGTTGATAATTATACAAGAGCATGTTAATGCGGTAAAAATTAGAATAAAAATATGAAAATAGAAAATACTGAATTCGTTACAATTTAAAGTCCATAAATTCTTTTACAGAATATATAGGATTTTTCAAGAAAAAGTCTTTCAGCCGGCGCCTAAATGTTTCGTCCGACGGTTCAAGTCTGAGAGTAGCGGGTAAACGCTCATAGTAAGTAGGTCCGATGAGACGCGGGTTTTTCTCTGCAAGTGCCATGATCTTTGCGATTGCTCTGAGTGGCACTGCAACTGTCATGGATAGAAGGGTCGTTTACTACCAGGTGCACGACTTGTTCGTTCCGTCACCTGATATTATAAAAAAATTAGAAAAGCCCCAACAGAAACCTGAAGGCATTATTATGCTGTACAATTAATATACATATAACAATGAATTTCGTAACCGATTGTGTAACAGGTTTTATTTTTAAAACAATGGATGGTTTTCGTTGCCGTATAATATTTTTGATATCTTCATTTAAAGATTTTTTAGGCTTTCAGGCAATTAAGGTAACACTTTTATGATTACACTGCGATTAAAAATATGCAACACGTATTTTGTCACTTTGTTTATAGTAAATGACGGAATAGTGATGTACTATGTCGGTTGCGACAACAAGTGGAGTCGTTTACGTTATGATTTTTTAAATATAGATTTGTCGGGTACACTTAAATATAAAAAAAAACAGTTGATCTAACGATAAACTTGGCTTTTGCCTTAATTTCCATTTCATGTAATTACGGCGGGAAATATCGACGCTTTTTTGTCCGTTATAGTTTTAAATATCATTTGCAACAAAAAACGCTTAGGTAAAAATGTCGCTTACGATAAGTCGGCAGTCATGCCTTGATATCTGTCGTCCACTAACCAAAACGCGGTTAAGTGACAAATGGTCAAATAACCATTTTAAATAGCAAAAAATAGAGCACATAATTAATTCTCTTTCAAAACAGTTAAAATTAGTTAACGTGTTCAACTTGAAAAATGCATAGCTGAAATATCATCAAACCATTTCAATATGCTAAAACTAGGTTATGGTTTTAAATGATATTATCTCAAAAAAATATTTTGTTACTCAGCCGCGTTTTGTCGGCAGATATGTAGTGGTTACAAGAAAGATTACAACACTACAGGATTACAAGAAAATGTTGACATGAATTTGACAATTAAGTATACTGAATATCACGTTGTTTTACTACTTCCTAAGAGCCGAAACTGACACTAGCCCAAGGCTAGTGGCCGCCATTATGGAACTAATAATATTAATACTATTATGATATCCAATTATTTTTGTAAAATTGCTCCACTAGTTTGTTATAAACACAAAGACCAATTCCTTCGAACCAACTGGTTCTAAAGGTGTCGTAGATTTCTCACAGAGCCATCTGGGAGAAATCTATGAGTTTTTCTTCTCAAAATCACGAAAAAAATTGTTAAAAACCAATAACAAAGATCTGCAACAAGCACAAAGAAAAATTTGAAAGGTTTGCTGGTTCTTTCCGTAGCTCAGTTGGGCGAGCGTTAACCACGGTACGGTCGCTGGTTGCAGTTCAGCCGGAACGAATTTTTTCTGTGTTCGATTTTTGCATCAATAATTCTAAATTTGACATTTTAGGATTGGTATGATACAATGCATTTTCTTACTAGTTATTTGAATGAGAGTTTCTCAATTTAATATTTTCATTTCAGGTGTACAGACCTGCTGATGACGACAATGACATAGAAGACTATAGCTATATGACCGAAAAGATTAAAAGTGGCGTAAGTGTTATTCATATTTAATCTTAACTTACTAGTTATTTTATTACGGTTTCTTGCATCTTTTCCGTCACCTTTGTAATAAACCTATTTTATACAATAGACTTCTCTAAGTAAGCTTTTGCTTGTCTTATAGTTAGTTCCCTAAAAATCCGCTAGATGGCATAGCTTAAACTATTATAAACTTTTTGTATTGTACCATTAGTAGTAAGCAGTACCATTTACATTTTGATTTTCTACGACTATAAGCGTAGAGAGCTTCGCTCGGCTTCAAATTGCTTTTGGCGATGAAGCACCATGCAAGACGACTATTTATAGCTGGTTTGCAGAATTCAAACGCGGTCGTGTGAATCTCAGTGACGAATTTCGTAATGGTCGCCCGCCCACTGCTGTGAACCACAGAAACATCGATGCTGTGCGCCGTATAATCAAAACCTTATTAATATTTTTGCAGGTGATACATATTGTAAGTTGAACCATTTCTTAATTTTCTGCTGAACACGGATCTAAGATAGGGTTTATGGTCCGCCAATCTGGTCAGATGTGGGTTGGTGACTGGGAGTTGGAGAGACTAAGTTCTTAATTTTAATTTTGCAACAAGATGAGGTTTAAATTGATTTTTTTTAAACCAACGTCATCGTAATCATCAACAACCCTGTAAAAGCTTTTTGGATCTTTCATAGGCTTTTGACTTAGTTAATTACAATTTGATGTGGAGAAAATTAAAGGAATCCGTAATTTTTAAGGAGCTTGGTACTTTATTCCCAGAAAAAATTAACCAGCCTCAATTTTTTTGGCTAGATATACGCTTGAAATAAAAACCGTAGCAGAATAATAAAAAAATATTGTGACCTGTGTTTGTTAAAATTGATTTAAAAGAAAATTGTGGTCGACATGTTTAAATAATTACCAGCAACACTGCGATACTAAAAAAAGTTCAAATAGCAGCAACACTCAAACGCTAAAATATTCAAAAAAGTAATTACAATCGGTTATCTAAATTGCAACAAAAGTGACATTGACATCTCGATACCTTCAATTAACTCTACGCCAACGTAATTTTTGTTTACAAAAATAACAGAAAATAACCAAAAACTAAAGTGTTTACTGGAGTTATCGATCCGATCTGTCAATATATTTTTTAAGGCATTGGCCACTAGCACACAAAAAATTACATAAACATCCCAAAAATTTGTTTTTCATTCACAATTTTGTAGAGTTTGGGAGCTCTTTACAAAAAAACCACTGTAGAGCTAGCACAACAGGGCGGGAGTTACGCGAGAGCGACATATGCGCGATCTCTATGCGAGAAAAGCAGTATCTCGCGCCTTATGTCGTTCTCGCAAAAGTCGCGGCCTATTGTGCTAGCTCTACTGCTAGCCTGATTAAAATTTCCATTTATTATAATACCACTAAAGGAACAACTCTTTTTAGTATACCAATAATCATAGCAACTCTGTAACATGGTTATGTTATTTCTTCTTATTTCAAATTCATAGACAGGACATACAAAGATCAATGAGTATGAGTGAATTGTGTAGAGATACATGGAAGAAAACTGGAAAATTATCGCAAGTTCATAGAGGTATAGAGTTCTATATCAATTGTTTTAAAGTTAATACAAATTCTGAAATAAAAATTTATCTTCAATTTACATTTTATTTAACTATACGGTGTAACCATTGACTTACAAATAAAGGTGTAACACAAACGTTTGAGAATAATTTTTCAACACGTCAAAATAAAAATTCGCGGTAATATGTAGGATTCAATAGCATTATGTTATAATAATAAAGAAGTGTCAAACAATTACGTCAATTATCTAGTCTCAAATATGATTACCAGAGCAACGGGGCATTACCCAGAACACCCAGACCAGAACCAATTTCAACAAGGCCAGGCTGAAAATCAGTACCGCGTGGCACACAGCCACAGGGATTCAATTGACCTTACTCCTGCCACGCACCGTTCCTGTTCTGTTGAAATTTTTACATGTTCTGTTTTCTATTTTTCAATTCAATTAAATTAAAATATTTTAAACTAATTTAAACTAGCCAGACTCGTAATGTGTTATTAAAAATATTTAAAAAATATGCTACGGTTAATATTTTAAAATTTGATAACATATTTTGGGGCATGTAGCTCAGCAGTTTCTTATGTAGGGGCAGTCAAACCTGCCCCTAACGCATTGAGAGCGGTATTGGGGCCGACAAGCACGAGGCGCACCGTACGTAGACGCGTACCTCTTGCACATAATGGCGTCAAACGCGTCAACGCGCGCGTCGACGAACATCCCTGATGCACTACAAATCACGGAGCATCACCATCCACACCCGGAAGGCGTTATTATATTGAGTCCGCAGGACTCTGTAAGGCCATTTCGTGTAGTCTCGCCACAATCTGTATGTGTTTAGGAAGGTACAGTACGCTTTGAAGAGCGTCATCTTTATCTCCCCCGAACATCTTGCGAATCTGCGTACGATCACATTTGCCCTGACCGACCGAGCCCTACGTTCCCTTTCCATATCACCATTATTTTTGTGTGGGGTATATAATTTATAAAAAATAATTTCTCAAATACGGGAAATCCAGCGCCCACAGTACAAATAATACGTTTATCTACTTATATGCGAAAGCCAGTCTTTTTTTAAATTGTTTTTTGTTCTTGAAGTTTGTTAGTTTACTAGATATAGTTCGATCATTTTGTTACATTCTTGTGATGTTTGTTTATAATACATTTAACAAACCTTTTTTCAGAAAGATCTATATGGTAACGTAAGTGTGGCTTAATTTCCATTTATTGTATGTCTTTTATCATATCCATAAAGTTCTCTGTTGTATTTTTACGGGGCGTGCCACGGCTATGCCACATGGAGGGAAAGTACCTTAAATAGCATAGATAGAAAATTTTAGTGAAAGAAGACTTCATTTTGATTTTAAAAACAATTCGAAATGCTTTTAAAGATGTTTAAAGAATCGTCTGTCTGAACCTATGGTATAGGTACTTTCCCACCGTGTAGCATAGCCGTGGGATACTCTGTATATGACATTGTTGCTTTTCGAAAACGAATGCAAGTTTTTCGAATCTACAATCGCGTCTATCTATACTTTCTCGATTGTTACTTTTAATAAAGAAATATATATACGCAGAGATGGTCAGTGGGTTAAAATCCAACTCATCCGGGGTTGTACCTAAAGCTTTCAACAAATTTCTGCCCATAATGTTGTAAACAGTGAATACGGAATTTGGTACAATTCCATACTTGTTTATAAATTTAGATGTAAAAAGTCTTTTTTAGATGAAAAAGATGCAACTTCACTCACAATACCCACCTTGCAATTCTGTAGATTCTCACTAATAAGGATGCACATTACGATTACATTTTTATGAAGATCAATTCAAGTGCATACGATCTAACAATTTTTTGTATCGATTTATTTCATTGCGATTTTCAAGCCAATCGATTCAATAGAAAGGCGAACCGTATCATCTCGATCAGAAAGTAATTAACATATCGTAATAATATCATTCAATTTGGACAAAATTCGATTTAAAACTAATATTTAGTTGTAAATAGTTTAGGCAGTTCAACTGCCTCTGTGTCTGTCCCAGGTTCGATTCCCGGGCCGAGAGAAATATTTGTATGGCCTACATTTATTTCTCTCGTGAGTTTGGGTGTAATTTGCGTTTGTCTATGTGTGTGTCCATGGCACCTGCGACACAGGGTTTGCCTAGTTCAGGTCTAAGTTGAGTGTGTGCGTTAAAAAAATAGATGTTGTCCTCGATTTTGGGTGTTAATGGGTTTTAACCCGATTTAACAAAGCGCCGGTTTAAGACCCGGACGCTTTCACATCTCCGCGTCTCTCACATACGTCGTAAATTGTAACGGGTGGGAATATAGAATATAAACCTGGAAGTATAGTTACTTTCTTGAAACTTTAGTGCACTTAAGTTTCATTTATTTCGTACTAAATATAGTAAGTAGTTTAAGCTTCCTTGTGTGATATAAAATATATATTTCTTCTTTTACGTGTGTAAATACTGTACTATATTTACTAATTTTCAACACAAAAATGTATCCCCTATTTCACCACTTGTAAGATTTATTTTTGTGATAAAAAGTAGCCTATATCCTTTTCCTAGTTCCTATCTATTTCTGTGCCAAAATTGGTTCAGCGGTTTAGGCGTCAAAAGTATTAGACAGACAGAATTACTTTCGCATTTATGATATTACTCTGTATTATTATTTTGTGTGAAGATGTTATCTTTTGCCCCTGGGAGTGTACTGTCTTTCTCCGTCCGTCATTTGTCGCAAACAAATACTGTCAAATAAGTAATAGGACACGACTAAATTAGAAGACAATATCAAGAATAAAACTTCATTCGCATCCATGTGTCTTTGAATATGGCCGGGTATTACTTATTTGCATTGACTTACAAATAAATGGACGACGGGTCTAATACAAAAACTACGAAAAAAATGACCCAAGTCAACCTATTTAAACGTAGTGACATGTAAAGGAATATGAAAAAGCTAAAACGTTGAATTTAAATTGTAATGTCATCGCAGTACTGTCTAATTTTGCTTGCTTCGCTGTCAGTCGAACAAACCAAGACTAAAGCGTGAATGACGCTCTGTATACGATTTTAACGCCCTATAAGTTCGGACAATTTTTAGCGCGGACCCGACGTTCATATAATTGTAAGTCAATGCTTATTTGATAGTAATTGATTCGGACGGATGTCAGACGGTGAACGAGAGTACAGGACCTGGTACCAAAAACCGGTATCTGTTGGTATTAACAATAATTTTATTTATAGCTTTCGTGGTTTAAATTTTTTTTTCACCTCACTAGCTCGGAAAGGCTTTCTTTCTCATTAGAAATCTGCGCGTAAAAGCGTTTTTGCACGCTAGCGTAGAAAAGGTTTTTGAAATTCGAACTTGATGTTGACTTTGGTGTTTTTTTTTATTTTATTTATGTAATATTGGTATTTTTTATTCTTAT